TCTCGGGTCAGTCGTCGTCGAATTCGCCCAGATTTTCTCTTCTTCCCGACGTCGCAAGGATCTGCCACATGTGCAGCAAATGTTACATTCTTCTCCGTCACCAATGCGCCAATCGTCGCATTGTTCTCATCAAATCAGTCATGCTGCTTACAGTTTGCGCGCCCGATGATCTCCACAGCAGCAGCTGTCATCTGGTGGCGAATGTGGTGCCACAGGTCGCCCACTGTGATCTTACATTCCACATCACATTGGCGTACAGCCAGCGCCTTCTCCAGCTAGGTACGTTTCGCCACAGTACCGAGGGAGAGAATGTTAAATTTACGCCGATTCACGGCGGGAGAGCAATACATAGATTTACGAAAATATATATACAGTTTGGTCCGCACCAATTCGTGTTCAGTGCCACACTCAGCTCCACGCAGTACACGTGTCATGTGGACTTCACACATGTCACGCTGACGTACGATGACATAGTCGAGCAGGTGAGCGTGACTACTCCGTGGGTGCGTCCAAGTTGCTATATCACTCGCACTCAGTGCAAACGGAGTGTTCGTGATCGTCAGGCCGTGAGTGGCACACAGTGAGAGCAGCCTGTCACCGTTCACATTCACTGAACCAATGCCATGCGGACCGATACCATCTATCCACACCGATGCATCACGCCCAACACGCGCGTTGAAATGACCCAGCAGAAATAGTCGGTCGCTCCTTGGCTTAGACCGTATCACGGAGGATAGCTGAGTATAGAATTGATTACGCTGTCATCAGGATAACACATGGTCGGACGGTACATGCTTGTAAAAGTGGCAAATTTACCTCTTCCAAGTTGTAGGCGAACCGTCATCAGTCGCGCGCTGATGCCTGTTAGTTCATCCACGAGCTGGCCATGGAGGCGAACGGATATTGCGAATCCGACCCCATGATCACGTAGTGCTGAGGCGGCGTTGCCCCACCTTGTAGAACGTGTAGTCAGCACCTGCTTCATGCAACTGATCTAGCTCAGCGATCTGGGTTTCACTAACCGCCGCAATATCGATGTGGTAGCGCGTCAGTTCCATCGCGACGAGCGCAGTGCGCCGCGTGGGACTTCACTCGAGTTCCGGTTCAGTAGTGTGTGCACGTTCCAGCATCTGATGCTGAGTGCTTTGCGCGCAGGCATACGATTGCATTGGTGGGCAATCGCAAGCGAGGTGGCGGTTGTGCTTCAGAGGTTTGCTTGAGAGACTCCGCCCGGAGCCTTTGGCTCAACAGCCTGGCCCTCAAGGCAGTGGTAGCAGCTCCAGCTCGGGAATGTGATTGCACAGACAGATTGGGATCTGCTTGACGGTCGTCACACGCAGTCTTGGAAGTACTGGAACGATTTTTATACGTTTTGCGACCATAGTAGGATACAACTGCGACCATGGACATGCGCAGGTGCGTTTTGGCGGATTTGCATCAATTTGACCGGGGCCTGCCTAGCTTAAGGCGAGAAGTAGCAAACCATTGAACACTCGAAGTGCCCTCCCACCGTCAGAGACAATGCGTGGCGCTCGTGCTGTACGCCAATCAAGCTGCGAGCTTATCACCTGTAGACTTGTTGTCGCCCATGGTTAGGTTTCACGGGAAGAGGGCCATCGAGTACTTTCTAACCTCCGAAAAGGATGGACTAGGATACTGTCAGGGCGCCCATACCTGACAGGAAATGGACCCGGGTCCGCGGATACCGAAACAACTCTTTTATGGTCAGCTGAGTATTGGGAAGCGACATGTGGGGAAACCAAAGTTACCTTACCAGGAGATGATCAAAGTGAGCCTCTCACTTTCTAATCTTGATTGCCGGTCATGGGCATCGAAGGCGGTTGATCGGCGTGCATGGCGCGATCTGATCACGAAGGCAATTGCGAAGATACAGGAGATAAACCTCATGCATGCGCAGAAGAAGCGGCAAGTACGGGTGCGGCAGGCGCCGATGAGTCGTACTCCATCGACATCGAGCGCATGGTTATGTAGCACATGCGGTCGCGAGTGCCTGAGTCAGGCAGGTGTAGTGAGCCATGAGCGAGGCCACCACCGAAGCGACGGCGGGTCCTGCGGAGAACGTAGGCAGAACCGGTGCAGCGTTTGTAGGTACGTTGCATTTGATTTACTAATGGTTTGGTTGCATGCTGGATTTCTTTATTTCAGGTGGTGGGTTTGTTACTTTGCCTCATTATTGCCCACGCGAACTATCTCCTATTAACTTGCACACGTCGCTCAAGTGAATTACGGTTAACTTTGATAACATTTCGCGTTTGCTTCAAAATATATTTTCTGACGTCTTGAAAGTATAGCGTTTCTTTTTGGCAACAAATTTATTTCATATGCTCACTTAGTAAAGAGTTATGTCGGCATATCTGTATGCATTATTCGATTTATTTGAGTTGATATTGTCGTAACAAGTGACTGGCTGCTGCTTGATATCCCCGGTGTGGCTGTGCTTGATGTGCATGTTGACAAGGTGCCTACCTGCCTATTACCAACTACCTCGTCCATACTGGCTCCAGGAGACAGTTGGTCGTTGTTGGAGGGGACGGGGTGCACCGTCCTTGTGGCCGTGTTAGGCTCGAAGAGTGGTTCCACGCACTCGGTGTGGAGCGAACTACGGTCCAGCCACCGCCGTGTGTGCGATCGATTCCCAAATAGAGCGTGCTTGTGTTTGCCTGTGAAGATGTGGGTCGGCTCCGGTAGTGAAACGTGGCCCCCATCCACATGCCTCCCGGTCTTATTCCTTCGGGTTTACACTGCAGATGGGGTGTATGGTAGGAGCTATGGGTGGTTCAGCGCAAGTCACCCATGGTCCCTCTGTAGGCGTAGGCGTCCAGTGGCTGGCCACAGTGACAAGCACATCCGAAACCGGAATCCGCCAACTGTACATATATATATATATATATATATATATATATATACATATATACATATACATATATATATATATATCGCTTGGCGGCGTTGTCACCCTTAGAGGGTAGTTCATGGAGTAGGTGTTTTTCTCGAACACCTAGATTGTGGATCTCGGATTTTTGGGTGACGATAAAGTGCTGTGGATATACGTAATCGAATAGTGTCCATTTGAAACGCTTCAGTTTACATTGAATAGGGTGCCCGTTGCAGATTCTGAGTGCACGGTTTGTTAAAGAATGTAGCGACTTAAAAGCGAACTAATGTTGTGGGCAACAAAAGGACTATAGTTGTACTGACAAATTAAACCAGTGAACTGGCATCCCGAGGTGGATCAGAGATGAGGTTGAGGAAAAACCGAAGCCATCCAAAACTATAAAATTCCAGTTGATATATTAGAAGCTGCTTGCTACGGGAATTCCAAATCATTCAGAATAGCAGGAAAGCTGGTGAATTTTTGAAAACTGCAATAATAAGAAATTCCCAACTGAAGAGCAACGATGGAGAAGACCGTAGTACACATGCACAACGCAGTCGTCCCCTATATCTCTATAAAGCATTTATCTGAGTCTTGGTTGTTATAGACGACTTCTGCACAACGAGGCGAGAAAGGCAGTTGAGTGATGAGTAAGGCCAGAGTCTGGGAACTGAAAAGAGAAGGGCTGACATCCGCAGAAGACAGCAAAAATGAAGGTTACTTCACGCAGCATACAGACATGAAAAACCAGTAAACTAAATTATACGTTGCTCAGAGAAGGAGCTTCAAAGTTGGGTGTACTCTGGAGCTTCGTTTTCTTAAAAGTACCAACACACACGCTTTCGACGGAATTTATGAAAGCAACATGGTCGAAAGTGTTGAGTTCCTGAGTGCCCGATGTATATCTGGACTGCGATATACAATCTCATTTGAAGCCACTGTTAGCTTTGATGTTAACATCTGCCATTCCGATCACTGGGACCGGTCGTGGATTGCAGTGATGGGAGAGAGCAATACTGAAACCCTCCACTTTGGATCTCGTCACGGTGTCGGAATGGAAGAGGTTTAGTACAAAGCCAATCGTTACCGCAGTTGGGATTGTGTGTCGCAATCCAGACAAAAGGCGGGTGCTCCAAAGGAGGGAGGTATCAACACTGCGCCGATACGCATTACCGAGGCTTCGCTGCCCGCGCAATCACCGCCAGTCGCATGTGGTCTAAGGAGCCTGCGAGCAGCACCTGAACCCAACACAGGCTCGAACACGCACCCACGGAATACAAGGCAAGCTTGTGATCCTCAAGACTACGGGCCGGCAAGAAGCAACACTCAAGTTGGAACCCCTGTGTTAAGCGCTGTCCGCGGAGCTCACTGACCGATCATGGCGTGAGGTGTCGACTACTATGTGCCGAGCTAAATTCCCAGCTCAGGCATGTGGGTATTTACTGCCATTGCATGGTATTTTTGAAAGCAACCGGAACATTTGACCGCATGTGACGGCATGCGAAAACCAACTTCTGTTGACTTTCGCATGCCGTGGTATATATCAATGCCAAGTCCTGCAAAATCTTGCACCAATCACTCACCGATATCCGCTACTCCGTTCACACCTCATTACCGCTAGGCATATTCACTTGATCGACCACCAGAAAGCATAACAATATGCATGCACATACGTTACTCCACAGTATTTCAGTCATATTTATTCAGCGACTTTTTCTCTAGACCCTAACGAGCTCACCAAAGAATGCATGGGTATATCTGTGCAGTTTCGTCCAGTTGATGATTTATTCCACCGCTATCTTAAACTAGTACTTGCCTGTAATAACCTGTTATCATTGCTGGAAGCATGTACTTTCTGGAGTGCATAAACTAGACTCTTCAGTTGACCCGACGTGACCTGACCTTGCCACTTAGGTGGTTTTTCCATACCAGTGGGTGGAAACTTTCCGATACCAAAACCATGGATCACTAGAGCTAATGGTGTTTGAAAAGGACAGGAAATATGATCGATCTTCGGTTAAGCTGACAGCATAGTGTTTTCAACTATCTAACGCAAACAGATGGTAGTTTGTAGCCCAGGGCTCAGAATCTGATCACACCTTACCTGGTCTTCCCGTCGGCTCTGTTCGAGTGCCATCTGGACTTTGGCCTCCTCTTTCGCTTCTTCGGCACGTCTTCGTCTTTCTTCGCGGTCATGCTCCTCTTTGCTGATTGCGATGGCCAATTGCAAATGAAGCTGTTCTTCTCCAGCTGACTGCGGACGAACGGAGTCCAATTCGGAGGATGCGGGAACGCTTGACGATCCTAGATGACAAAGGGGTCAAAACAGAAAATGTATCATTCAATGGAATAAAAGTCTGGTGCTAGGCAAAAAAGTACGTAACAGGATCGTGATGGACTCCGAGCTTATCTTTGAAGCTGGTAGAGCTGTGTCGTATATAAAGGTGACAAAAGAGGCTGAAAAGGTCGCATGCTCGCGACCACAGTCAAAAATACCGCTCAATGTACACTGTTTAGACAAGATATGAACCAAAATAGGAAGTGAAGAAGGCATGGAAGTAGCCGACCTGATTGGGGTCACAAAAACTGATCAAATCAGAGGTTTAAGCGTGCAATCAGGTTGCAGGCGAACAAAACCACATGCGGCCCGCTTTAGCTACCAGAGCCCATACGTTAACAAAAGGACTGGTTTTTCGTTCTTCACGGTGGTACAATCCCGTTCGCATGTATACTGTGGTAGTGCCGCACTGGCAAAATTGCGGTTTGACAAGCCGCATTATAAATAAACGCCGGTGATCGGAGTAAGTGAATGGATCAGACGCAATATATCGATTTCTCATTTGCTTATGGGGAACTGGATGCCAGCATTCGAGTGCCTGCCTGTGGCACCTGCGCTTACTTCCGAGGGCACAAATTTAACGATTCACATACTCTGTTCTTTTCCTCCACCTAAAGTGGCTGCGTAGACAAAGGGAGAAAGCTTTCAAGAGAAAGACAACATTTCAGTAAAGCCAATCTCTGTCCTTATAAAGGAGGAGTTGGGTCATCTCAACAACGGGTACGCCTAGGCTATACTTGGGAATAGTAGCTGCTGTGAACTATGGATGTTAAAACAACTAAACGGGTTTACTCGGCGTACATCAACCTCCGAGGTATATGTGGAGAAAATAAACCATGACTTCTGCAACTGTTACAACAATCCGATCTGAATCATCATTTGCACAGTTTAAATTGTCTGAAGAATCAATGCACCTTATCGAGAGCGGCACTGTACACAAGTTGTCGAAACAGCCTCGCTCAGGGAAAACAAGTGTCTACCGCTGTCCTCAAGAAAGGTGCTGACTTACTGGCCAAATCTTTGCCTTCTTTATAGACATTATGCATTCAACAACATAACATTGCCGAATGCTGGAGAGGCGTCAATATCATACCAAGACTAAAAAAGGGCTAAAGCAAATATCGACCAATTGCTTGTACTTCGGTAACCTTAAAGGTGTTCGAAAAAATCATTCTTGAGTGGATGCTAACATAACATGAGTAAAATGATTCTCTTCAATCTGCCTATTGCAGTTCGAGATCAGCCCAAAACGCAGTAGCCTGCCTTGTGCACTAGTTTCTGTCATCAAGTTCTGGACTAAAGCAACGCATTCGGCAGCGTAAACCGCGAAGTGCTGTCGCAAGATTTACTCGGTGATGGAATACATCAATCCATCGTCCTTGTGTTAAGGGATAACTTAACCGGTCCTACCTGGGTTACTCGATTTGGAGGCAGAATCATGTATTTCCTACTTACAAACACCGGTGTTCTTCAGGGATCCATTCTGTCACCTTTTCTATCTGCCAATTATGTAAGCTGAATACCAGTCCCAGGAGAGGCAACTCTGCTGAAATGCGCAGGTGACATCGTCCTGGGCGTCAATCAATCGGCCACTGCCTCTTCAGTCAGAGTAAAGGATATTCTTAACAATCTCACGTTTCGACCAAAGGCCCGCAAACTTCCGCTTAACGTGTCAAAATGCAATGATGTCATTTATTTACTGCACAGGGGAAATCGATATCCACAGCTTCTACAGCAATGCCCGGAACTCAACATCGATGGCGAGAGGCTGCACTCTTCCAAATCGGTAAAAGACCTGGGAGTCATGTTTAGCTACGATGTATCTTGGTCAAACCATAAAAAAGAAATGTTCACAAAGTCCGGAGGTTAGCGTTCAACGTCTCACACCTGCGAGCTTCCTCTGACCCTCAATATATGATACTTCGCCTTGTCATCGCATGTGTTCTTCCACAGTGGACGTACTGCTCATCAGTGAATTTTTTCTGGCCTATTGGGCAGGGACATTAGACAAATCTCCGAGCCGTTAAAACACTTGTTGCGATGCAGTGATGTAACAAAGCTGATGTTCGTTGATAAACTTGTATCCACTCATGTCACTTCTTGCAACAGACTAGCATAAGTGGTACTTGCCAATACAAAGCACTCCTTCATTGTGTATTGTCGGAATGTTTGCCAACCTCGTCAACTAGACAGAAATACAAACACATATATGCCTGTCCAAAAGCGTATCGTTCGTCGGCTATGCAGTACCTAGTGTTCTTCTCGCTAGGCCAAAACAAAGTTGTCCAGGGATTAGCAAACTGAACTATGCTGTGATGACATCGTACTCTTGCACGCAATGTTCCAGTTTTTGAATTGCATTTACATCATGCTGTATCGCTGAAAGCGTTTGTGTTACGGCTGAATATTCATCCGATCTAGGTGCATAAAGAAGTTTCTTGAATGGACTTGGTTCAGATCGTAGAAGTAGAGCTGTTCAACTGCATTTTAGAACAAGTCGACAACCCGTCGGAAATTTTAGCCTAGTTAAGAACAAGTGCTTATGCGCTCGTTGTCGCGTAACTGTCTCACTGGTTATACGCCGTCGGATTTAGATATAGAGGGAAATCTACTCACGGAGGGAGGCGAAGGGGTGCCGACCGAAAACCCTCGAGAGCAGTTCATTCCCAGGGCGATGACGGATGGCAGGATGCAAGTGAGACTGGTGAAGCGTTGGGTCAGCAGATGCGTAGTATGGTGAAGTTGAGACACTGCAGGACAAGGCCTCGGAGCATGCCCCACGTTATCCCTTTAACTTATCCAGTTGGCGCAAAGAGCTGATAATTGTTCCGCATTCCATCACAGCCGGTAGCCAGTGTCATTGCACCTAAGGTTACCAGGTGCTGGCAGCAACATAGCAACTACTCTTGCTGCCCGGAGCGGACGTAAAATTGCCGCTCCCGCTGGCGGTTTTAAATCCGTAAACCCTCATAATTTCGGACAGATATTAAATACTTTGTTTCATATAACAACAACCAAAGATACAATTACACAGTGTTGCCGTTCATTCAGGAGTATTCATTGTTATAGTACTCGCGAAAAAGTACAATAGATACACGTCATTCATTACTTGAGGCAGTAGCATTGACAGCACTCTCTATCGTCAAGTTGCCTCTCCATGTTGAAAATTGCGACCCTGTGAGCCTTGTCTCCTTCAGGGACACAAGAAGGTAGTTTATTATGAACTTACGTTTTGTGAATGCGCTATAACAGCTGGCTAGGATAAAAGTTCAAGTAAAAAATATGCACGGCGGACTCTCCAAGCCACATTTCGGTAGGAGGCTTAAAAGCTCAGAAGGTCCATTAATTTATTTAATGAAGCTTTCACAAAATACCGCAATTTTCTTCTTTCGGCTAGGATTCCGTTTTTTCCCCATATTTTCCTTGAATTTACTAAGCGGACAACCATACCTAGTATCAAGCAGATTTAACGGTGTAAGAAAAGCATATTTGTTCACAAGCTCATGAATTTTCTGAAATCTATGGTGTTTCATTAGTCAAAATGTCTGAGAGACAACGTTTCCCGTTTCAACTCTGCAGCAAAGTCTATCGATACATCCAACAATTATCCACCGTCCATTCGTTGCTTCTGCCCGATTCGACGCTTCATGCTTACCCCAAATTAGCGCACTTTTTTGGAATCATCTGTTGCAATGTGCACCATTTTCGCTCTATTCTGAAGAAGCCAACTCTTATCGCTGTAAGATTGTCAAAACTTTGCAGATCCAGTCCATTTCTTTAGACATACATGTGCATCCTTGAATTCTATGAGAGCAGATCCCTAAATGCTAAGATACAAAATAAACGGAAACGACTGTACCGAGATGAGAAGTAAAGATGCAGCTGATCTTGTGATTGCATTTCCTCATTATTCTGTGAAATGTGTCAGTGAAGTGACGAGTTCCGAGTATTTCTTCACCACAATATTTACAGCACCTGCTCGACTACTCCATCTATATTTTACAGTCATCTGATACTTACACCGGTGACTTGAACCAAGGCATTCAAGTAATATTTAGATGAGCAAAGAATAGTCGGTTCATCGTACAAACCATGTAACAGAATGAACCGTCGCGGAAGCTACCTGGAAACATAGAATGGTTTGTGCATGACACAGATGTAGACTTGAGCTGATTTCACAGGTACGTCTCTGGACACCCATTCGTTAGCGCGCCCTAATAGCATCATTGTCAAATGCTTGGCCACGACAGTCGTCAATATGAATTCCATCCTTCTCCGATTACCGCAACACCAGTGCAGAAATTTTCTCTGTCCTTTTGCTGTTGGTTTCAACGAAGCTGAGAAATGACTCCTCTACCCTCACTTCATTTTCCCTCATCTGATTTTTGTGAGATTCATCGGGCGTGCTATCGAAAATCTAGCAAACAATTGCCTTTGTTGACATGCTCTAAGATTTTCTTTCTCACCTGATTGTACCAAAATGCTCGCCAATCCCTGTTGAACGTGGTGCGACAAAGAGAAGATTCTGATTTTCCTTCCCAACTGAACTGTCACCAAATGTTCGCGAAGAACAGGCTCATACTTGACCGACAAATGTACAAATGCTGGAAAAAACCCATCTTTTTTGGCCTCCTTTATCATCTTGGATGTCTTCTCGGTGAACACACAGTGTCATGCTTTGTTTGCTGAGAACGCTGACGATATCAAGTATTTAGCTAATTTTCAAGCCACTGATTTTCTATAACTACTTGCTCCATTTTGTCAAATTCCCTTCCTTCAACTAGCCGGATCGCTACCTCTTTGCCGTTGCGGAATGACTGAGCACGCGATTTACTAAATTCGTATTCACATGCTTTTGGATGTAGCTTCCACCAGTCAAAAAATTCAGACTATCCCGTTGGAGACTTCCTGCAGCGGAAACCACACAGGACCTCTTTTGAAAGAGAAGGCACTATGGGTATCGCAATCTTTGCTCAGCGTTTCGCAAATTCCGAAAATAACCAATTAGTTTGTAGATTCTCAGCCTCAGCTTTGCATTCGTTCCAGGTAGCACCAGTTAGTAAATTCATGACAGATATGCTGAAAGACAGTAGATCCGAGTCGGACAATTTCATGAACCATCTTAATAGCCCACTTTTGGACATCCATATAATCGGTTAATGTGATTGTTTTGGTACCAAAATGTGGTCGTATTTCCAATTCTTCTGCCTCTTCTG